CGCAATATCGCGTGAAGCAATGAGGCCTCGAGCCAACACACTCCTGCTCCCACCAGTGCCGACATACAGCCAAATCTCACAGTTACTAATGTGATATTGCTTACATATATATGTATATATGTGTGTGTGTGTGTGTGTATATATATATATATATATATATATATATATATATATATATATATATATATATATATACCAGTGCGATATGGCTGTATTTCGGCACTGGTGGGAAGAGTGTGTTGGCTCGAGGCTGCATTGCTTCTCATGATATTGCGTTTTTTTCAAGAGTTTGAAGGCACAATTGTGTAAAATCCCTTTTGCACTAGGAACTGTTTTCTTCCTTTGTTCATACACATCTACAGCTGACGTCAGAACAGCTGAAGCTGTTGCTACTTCACAGATGTCAGTTCAGAGCTAGTATTTGAATGATTCTCTACCGCATTGTCTAAAATGATGACAAAACAGGTGATTTTGCTCACATTTAACACTTTAAAGCTGTAGAACATGAAATGTCTTTAGTCTAGAGAAATGTCTCAGTAATACTCTGTTGAAATAGATCAAAATTATTGCAGGCGATTACAATAATTAACCCTGAAAAAGCCAGAGCAAAGCAGACACTACCAGATTACTATGGTATACAGTATGTACAGCACTACAAAATACATAAGAGAGAGTTTGACTTAGAATGTCATTTACCTGTTCTGTTGTGATTTGGTCAGCTGTAGTTTGCTAGGTGTGCTAAAATGCAATTTTTCTTCTCTAAGAGCTTTTTATAGGGTCTCTGTTGGCATTGTAGTGGAATGGCAACCGTCTGCTTAGTATGACAGGCTGATGGCCACCAACGCTTGTCTTAGAAATTATGAATTTTCTTAAATAGGCACTATTCTTATAAATATACTGCATAGTTGCTATCTAAACAACTACATTCTCCCCTTAAAAAGCTTCAAAAGTATATTATGTTGTCCGACTGCAATATTTGTCAAACTGTGGTGAGTTTATTGATCTGCTGTCACTCTATGTGGGCGGAATAATACATACGTATAAAGAAGTTAAAGTAGACCATCTAATTTTCGCAGTATTACCTATAATATTTGGAGAACTGTTGGCTGGAAGGAAAGCAATTTATAATTGAAAGAAAAAATATCTATCCAATGGTTAACTTATTAAACTACTTAACCTAATGGACTCTTTTCACAAAACGTGTTTATGACGCGTATCATATTCTTAAATCCTTGAAAGGTTTTATTATATTTATTTTCAAAATAATGTATTAACATTTATATGCATTTATCAGCATGTAATGTACTCAGTTTAGATAGTATTTAGTCCCTCTTTAAATTTAGTTAATGTTTCTCAAGTTAATGAGACAACAAAAAGGTTAATAGGGTGATAAAAATCTCAGCAGAGGATCAAATCGAACAATAAGCAACTCCACAAACAGCAGCTTTACTTATCACCAACCTGTTTGCCCTTATTTAAACAGGGACCAAATACTCTCTAAACTGAGTAAATTGTACTCAGAGGATTTTGCTGTGTGCTATATCTTCTTTGCATCAAGTTACAAAAAAACAAATTACCGCTCATGTATCTAAAGCTGCGTCTATTGGGCTAAGAGTACATTTTATGTTACTCTCTCTCTGGCTGTCGTTATTGGTCTCACAATTTTTTTTCTTTTTCTGAAAGTATTGATAACACCATTGTGCAGTTTTTCTTTAATTATTTCAGCAAATATGATTGTAAAAAAAATTTAGTTGTAATCTCCGATTCATTGCGCTTTAAGTTTACCCAACCATGACGCCTTCCGCTACTGAGAAACCCTGAAATGTAAAAAGGGTCTAATAACATAGTTAAGCTATTAATGGACTAAGCTGAATACTAATATCTTGCAAAATAAGTAGTAATGTTATGAACCGTCATCATGGCAAAGACAAAATAAAATAATTATTAGAAATTAGATATAAATGTTAAAATCTTTTAAAAACGAACTGTTAAACTGCATTTGGGCTAGAGTGTCACTTATTGTATCACTGTAACTATCCCTATTAAACACATGCTTTTGTGAAAGCACTCAAGTTCAAATTAGACACAATCCAAATATCAGTTAGGAAGGTGAATACTGTCAGTACAACACAGGATGTTTTAGTACATGAGAATGAGGAGGAATCTTTCTAACAGCTTCCAGGAGGTTTGATAGAAGCATTCCTAGAATTTATAGATCACATTTATAAAAAAAGCTAGTGTTGTTTTATTAAGTGTGCTTGTCAGACTTTTGGAGTCCATGGCTCTGTGATGTCTAGTATAATGACTCCACTCGGTCCAGGTGCGTGTGTGATGTTGTGTGCTTTTGTGTTCGAAGCACAAATGGAGGAAGATGCACTTTGTAGGTATCACACACATGAATGACTTCTGAGTGTTCCCTCTAAACACATTGCAGACAGATCCAGTCTGGTCAGATGCTTCTTATCTGTTGTTGTTTTGCCCCAATTTTTACAAAAGCAACAGTAAAAAAAAGTGTTACAGGACTGTTTGCTGAGGTGGAAAACATACTGTACATTGGCGTTAATGGAAGATGAATGACCATAAACCATAAAATGCTATTATTCATGCCTAATGGCTTTTTAATTTTTTTTAAATTATTACACAAGGGTTTTTGTATGTCCACAAAGCTTGTGCAATAACATTCAGTATGGGGGCATGCAAGAGATCTCCAGAGTGGATGGCAACATCAACAGCCTGAGGTATCAAGGCATTAGTGCTACCTATTACATTGCAAACCACCGGAGAGGGCAAATTCCTCACCAAGATAGCGCTCCTTCTCATACTTTAGCATCCACATCAAAGTTCCTGAAAGCAGAGAAGGTCAAGGTGTTCCTGGATTGGCCAGCCCAGTCACCAGGCATGAACATTATTGAGCATGTGTGGGGTAAGATTGAGGAGGAGGTATTAAAGATGAATCCAAAGAATCTTGATGAACTGGTAGTCCTGCGAAAACGCTACTTTGCCATTCCATATGACTTTATTAATAAGTTATTTGAGTCATTACAGAGATGTGTGGATGTAGTCCTCCAAGACTATTGCAGTCATACACAAAATTCTTTTCCCACTGCACCATGACTTTATATTCTATACTGTACATTATTTCTGTTCAGTGACGACTTTTGTCTAAGCAAAGTCGAACCTTACTGTCCTTATTAAATAGTTTGGTGAAATAAACATAATCTAGAGACATTTGCCTTTCATATAAGCCACTTCTGATACCTAATGGTACTTGAAGTCAAGTTATTATTTGTTGGATAGGCAACAAGACTTTTGTCAGGGTAGTATTATTGTTTAAGACTTGAGTGCTAATAGTTGAGGCATTTACTCATTTCTTGTTATGCAAACATGACAGTCATAGTCTATAAAATATCTCTTTTTTTAGAATATTTTTGCTTTTGACAATGATTGGATTTTTACATACACAATACATTTTAAATGTGTGGGGTCAGGGAGTACGAACCTTTTTTTCCTTTTTGTTTTTGAGGCATCATGTTCACCAAAGCTTTATGTAAATATAAATATAAATAATTTAATAAAATGCATCAAAACATAAGTATCTTAAAATATTATAGTTTATACATAATATTATTTTAAGTTTAAAGAAATCAATTGTTTGCCTGGAATTTCTGTATTTGTTTTAAAAAATGATAAAATAAATAAAAACATATGAATAAAATATCTTTCACCCCAGCCCCCATATATATTCATTTATTTTTTATTAGGGTTGTCAAAATTAATTGTTTTTTTCAGTTCACTGTGATGCAGATGCAGACAATTTGGTATCGGTTCAGTAATAGATCCTAACCGGTTATGTACTGACATCATTTATCTCATTCGCTATGTCGCGGTAGAATACTATAGCGTGGGAGGCGAGCATGAGTAATTAAAACACAGAAACTCAGCACAATTCACTGCGTGTGTTTGCTGGACAGTCTTTCACTGACACTGAAGTTACAGCAGAAGCCCCTATTTCACTGCAATTGAGAAACTCAATTTCTCTCTCTCACTGTGTCCCCATTGACCCGATGGCGTGACATTTCCTCTCCTCTCGACTGTTGTAGCGATATTTGTAGATCCTGACACAAGCGTGTCTTCAGAGCAAGTTATCTCCACCGTGTCTGTCATTGATCAGCTGTGAGCGCCACGTCCCTTTATCGAGTCTAACGAGTTTAACAACTCGATCGACAACGTTTAAATAGTGGGTTAATATTTCTGCTTGTTTGTTTGCTTTAAATGCTCATGTTGTTTTGTGCATGCACTTGAGTTTTTTTTTTTTTTTTTGATGGATTCAAAAAGTGTTTTCTGTGAGCAGGTAAAATTAAAGGTACAGTTCACATATCTGACTGCTTGTATTAAAGGACAACATTGTATAACAAATCCATATAAAATGTATTTTTAAAAAAATATACATTTTAATACAAGAATTGTGGTGCTGTAAAGTAAAATATCAAATTGTGTATAAAAGCATCGTCAATGCACTGTGATTCACAGAGATATCCAATTGTACTGAATCGATGGCTTGATAATCATAACCGAACCGTAAGACTAGAGTAGGTTCACACCTCTTTTTTTATACAACATAATATTTTTCATTTCATTTATTTTTATGAACTATTTATTTGATATTTATGGATTAAAATTATTTTTTGAATGTCATTTTTGACCCGCATGATTAATCTATGTGGAATAAAAGTACTAATTTGATAAAGAAAAAAAAAATCCCCATGACCCTAATCACTTTCAATACAGCCCTTATCACAACATTACTGTGTTCAGCTACTGTCCATCAACCATTACACACACAATCACTACACTGTGTGTGAGCAGGAATAGCACAGTCATCTTTATTTGAATCCTCGAGTACTACTTACCAAGTCGTCAACCTTTTCGAGTACTCCGTATCTGTCCATTGCTTTATCCTTGTTTCTCTCTCTCTTTCTGTGTGTGTGTGTGTCTCTCAGGGCTTGTGCAGCGTTGTGTTATCATCCAGAAAGATGAGAATGGCTTTGGGCTGACAGTGAGCGGCGATAACCCTGTGTTTGTACAGCTTGTAAAAGAGGGTAAGAATTCAATCAACATTGTTCATTATTATCCCTGTTTCATCTTTAATTTACAACTTTTTCACATGTGGCTTAAACACACACTTGTCTTCTTAAACTAGCTTGTCATCGATAATTATCTGGTTGTGTAACACCACACTACTGTATAATTGCGACACTGAAGGTGCTAAATACAGTACATAGTCGCTTTTTACAGTGACCAAAGTGTTTATTCAAGCTACATTTAATTGCACTCGCTTGCCTTAAATACTGTACATAAATTCAACAGTTTTATACAAATCTCATGTGTAGAATTTTTTTTCCAGAAAATAGTTATTTACTGAGTAACCAAGTTACTTTTCAGACAAAGTAATTTAATGATGCAATTAGCAATATATTACTTTTTAAAAAGCAACTTTTTAATTTCAGTTTGCTTCATTTTTTTTGCATGTAGATGGAGCTGCCATGCGAGCTGGTGTTCAGACTGGTGACCGGATCATAAAGGTGATGGTTTGATGAAATTCAGACTTATCAGAGTTTAATATGAATTTATTTCGTGTTCTGAGATTTAAAATGACAGCAGTTTTTTGACCAGTCTGTAAAACTGTTGATCAGGGATTTGAGGCTACAATGCACAGAATCTAACAGACTCACCTAATGCTGGCAGAATGCCACGTTCTGCCACCTGCTGGCTAAGAGCAGAAGTATAGATGTGTATTTTTAAATGAGTTCAGAAATCCAATTAGGGTATGGCGTAAATATTCATTTAAAAGTTTGGAGTCAGGTCCAATTTTTTAAATTTTTCTAAAGAAGCATTTATTTAATCTAAATGGCTATATTTTTATAGCAATAGTAGTATTATATGGAAATATATCTATTTTTAACATCATTTGAAGTGCATATCAAAGTGGTTGACAGAAATAAAAACATCATGTAAATCAAAAATGGTTTTGGGTTTAATAATCATAAAATATGGGAATTAAAATATAAATTTTTTTTTTTCAGATTTTGAATTGGAAAAAATGACAGTTTTATTGTTTTAAATAAATATAAGTATTGAAAGTGGTGTGCTTGGATGTAGAAATGCAAACAATAAACAGGTAAAGTATGCTGTTATAAATTATATATGCAGTGAATTATATATAATTGTATATAATAATAAAATATATATAAAATTATACAGCAGTGAAGTACTGCTTTATGTTTAGTATACAACCCTACCATATTAGTCAAACATTTTTTTATTTTAATATGATTAATATATACTATATATATATATATATATATATATATATATATATATATATATATATATATATATATATATATATATATATATATATGTATTATCATATCCTAATAAAGGTCTGAGCCCCTTAAATAAAAATCCTAGAATCGGCCCTGGTGTAATATATGATCAGTCATCCTTAGACGATATGATATTCTTAAAAACAAGATGTTCATCAAGATCAAATGTTTTGAATCAAAACACAAAGATTACAATCAAAAGTGTAGTAGACTTAGACATTCTTTTTCTCCAAAAAAAAAAAAAAGAAAAAGCTTGTAACACATTCATTTAAATTTGGGTGGTAATAGTGCCTTGCAGTGTTGCTCTTAATATTTCAATCTAACGTTTAAAGGGGACCAATTATGCAAATATTACTTTTATTAGGCTTTTTAACAGTTGTGTGATAACAGTCTGTGAATATAACCATCTTCTCATAGTAACAATATATTAATTAACTTTTTTATATTCACACTTTATAAAAACAATCTGCCAAAACACTTCGATTGACATTCTCCCTTTGTACATGTCATCAGAGTGGAAAAGCCCCACCCACTAGTGACTATTTCTACCTCATTAGGACATTAGTCTTTTATTGAATCTGCCACTATGCTGACACATTGTAGCTCTGCCCTGGGAGCCCAATCTCATTTAAATTTAAAGCGACAGTCACCAAAACAGCATAATTAGGATCAAAGCCTAAAAGGGGCAGATTCAAAGAGTTCTGAAACTTCACATACACACTCTAGGAACACCAGAGACTTGTTTTACATCTTGTAAAAATGGTCTACTATTGACACATTCTGATTTAAGCATCATCTATTAATTTATTGTGTGTGCGCATGTTTATTTATTTTTACATACAGGTCAATGGGACGTTAGTTACACATTCAAATCATGTAGAAGTTGTAAAGCTAATAAAATGTAAGTATGCTGCGTCTTTCATGTTTGATCATTTAACAAAATTTTACACGTTTACTTTAAAAAAATGCTGCGCAGTTGTTGATTTCTTTGCACTAAAAAGCTAAATTTTTGTTCAGCGGGCTCGTATGTGGCCCTGACGGTGCTGGGGAGACCGCCTGGCTTGCCTCAGATTCCCCTGTCAGACGGCGAGGGGGAAGAAGGGTCTCCGTTCTCGCTCAGTTCTCCTCACTCCCCAGGGCCCATCGGACCAGAGCGCTCCTGTTCCTCCCCCAGCCCCTCAGAGCGAAAAGCAGCCTCTCTGCCTGTATGGGTAAGAGATCTCTGATAAGTAGCTTTGATCTTCATCAGTCTTTCATAGCTCTTTATGCCTTTTACTACAGTATCTTTTTATGGGTTTCACTGGTTGTGTTTGAGTCGTCACAGCAGCAAAACTCCAGCAGTCACATGCTTGCATACATGTAACAAAACAGTCGATTTATTTAAAACAAAAGGTGATTTCTGGGTGACTAGATTAAGTATTTGGGTTAATAATTGTTTGACTTGTACACTACAATGTTAGTAAGACTTAATTTACTGTTGTTCAGCTGGAAATTCCTACAGAATTCATTGATATGATGCAGTATGTTAAATTGAAGAGTTTAGATGCAAAAAAAAAAACTCTAAATGCCATCTGAAATTTTTCTCTGGCTGTTGTGTGTAGGTTCAGTAATTTTACTCTTATAGCAAATAATAATGAGAAATAACAGATCATAAACATAAAAGGCTGAGAAAAATGCTTATTTGCTACAAAAAATTCAGACAGTACTTAGAGGTTTTTGAATTCTAGCTCTCTTTTAACTCTTCTCTGATATCTACATAGGATGTATGTAACATATTGCAGGTGCAAACATTCTGCAAACATATCTAATTACAACCCTAGAAGGTTTTTTAGAGTCTTCAATTCATACAAATTCATTTACATTGCATTTACATTTAGTCATTTAGCAGACACTTTTTTTTCCAAAGCTACTTCCAATTGAGGAGACATTCAGAAATTCAACTAATTCAATTTCAATAAGAATTTTGGCCTCTAAATAATCCAAATGTAGGCATTTCCAGCAGTCCACGTTCTCCACAAAGCACAATTTTATGTGATAAAAAAAAATCATGTAACATAACGTTTGCAGCATGCGACGTTTTGCGCGTTCATGTGAAGGGGTAGGGGTGTTTCAATTTTCTTTAGCTTGAAGGCGTAGGGCTAAGGGGAGGGGCCAGATAGCTCTTGAAACTGAGATAAAACAAAAAAGCAAAAAAAAAAAAAAACTGGCAACAGAACTGCCAACAAAAGTGATTTAATGTACAAAAGTGAAAACCAGAATAATGCCTATATATATTTATATATATAGGCATTATATATATATATATATATATATATATATATATATATATATATATATATATATATATATATATATATACATATATATATATATATATACATATATATATACACACACACACACACACACAAAAAAAGAGAAATTTTTACAATAAAAATTTTGGCCCAGCTCTTTCCCATTTATACTGAGCTATATCTCATCAAGTTCACTCTTTTCTCAGAGTAAGGTGGATAGAGAAGATATCTTACGATTTCCATTTTGCAAACACATAGGAAATTTGTTGCTAAAAACACCAGGTAAGAGGTGGATGGCATCTAAAGACTCTTGTTTTATTTTCATATGTTTCTTTCGAGGTGAGGGGTTATTCATGAGTAGGGTTGTAACAATATACCGGTATGACGGTTTACCACGATTTGAACGTGCACGATTATCATACCATGAACAATTGCATATCAACGGTTTTAACCCTTAAAGACCGAGACAGCCGCCCGCGGCTAAAAATAAGTATTGCTCTTAAATGTTTAATAACTTTTGATCCGCTGATCCGATTCATACAATTCAAAGATTGGCATAAAGAAGAGAATCTCAGCTTTCCAGTGCTGTATCACATAACATTCGCGGACTTTCAGAGGCTCCGGAATCAGTGCGGTTACGTCATCAACATTTGACAACGCTGATTTGACAAAGAAACGCTCGTCACTGTGTCTCCGGACAAATCAAACATGATACATTGATGCATAGTCCCTCCTCCATGCCCAGATTGGTTCAAACTCGCTATATCACAACCAATAAGTATAGGTTTCGCTTTTGTTTGTGGACCAAGCTTTTTGAACAACACGGAATGAGAGATAGGCATACATTTATGCGCGGCTAAATAAAACGCAAAAAAAAAAGTTTTTCATGAAATAATTCTCATACTAAGTACTTTTGCATCCACAGCAGCACAGAAACATGACAAAACAGTGACACAGCAAAGACGAACTGCTGCTCTTGCTGTTTTCAAAAGACGCAAATGAAGATGCAGCTGTTTGTCTGCATTGCAGACAACCATATCCAAATCCATATCGATAGACAACCATATCCATGCTGGCACATAAAACCTAAGGATGTTCCATATTGAATCTAGTTTCGTTATGTAACTATTTATAGTATAGTAAATATTTATATCTATTTTTTACTGAGGATTTGCACCATGTTTATTTGGACTTTTTTTGGACTTTGACACATTATTTATTATTTTCTTATTTTTATTTGTTCATTGTAAGTGGTGTTGTTTATAGTAACTAAAATATATTATTTGGAAAAAGTCAAATTTGCTTCACTGTTCTATTATTTTGTAACATTTGTAACATACCGTATACCGCGAAACCGTCAAACCGTGGTATTGTTTTAGACGATTATCATACCGTGAAAAATTCATACCGTTACAACCCTATTCATGAGCTAGAATTGTTTTGTTATATTTCTTTCTTTTTTTTGGCTTCACTATCGTCCTCTTACTCCGGAGAAAAGATTGAACTTAATGAGATATAGCTCAGTATAGAGGGAAAAGATCTGGGCCAAAAAGTAACAAACAAATCAAACAAAATATAAATGTACAAATATCACAAAATTCTCAAAGTGGGCAAAAGTAATGCAAAATAATTTTACCCAAACAAAGTTAATCAAAAACAATGAAAAACAAAATCATGTCTGCAAAAACACACAAAAGCTAGATCAAAGGAGAAATGCGCTCTCCCCTTCGCCCTTCCTGTTGTCCTTTTTATGTTACTGCGCCACATCGCTCAATGATGATGGACCGGTCTCCTGTCCAATCAGCTGTTGTGAAGGTGAACCTAACAGAAATGACAGGCACTGAGAAAGCGAAAGAGAAGGAAAGAGAGAACGGGAGACAAAAACACAATCAATATACAGCCATAACAACCACACTCGAAACCATGTACAAAAGATCAGATGTACAAAATATCCAAGAATACACCATCTACAACGACAATGTTGCTGCACACGGGAGTCAGGAGATGCATAAACTTTGTCATTATTACGAATTTTTACTGCAAACAAGCATATGTTTTAATACATTCAAAACAATGTTCATGTTTTACTGTCATGCTTAAAAAAAAAAAACTAAACTAAAATAAAAACCGCTAGTAACTAGTAATGTTAATGTTATTTTCTTGTATTTACATTGATGAATATGGTCACGGTGTAAATGCACAGTACAGTTACAATCTTATTGCAGCATTATATTGTTATGATAACATGATATCATTGCCTTCAGTGATTTCCTGAAGATAAATATAAACAAAATAACGCAACTGGAATAACTACAGCAGTGACGATCGTTGATCTCATATGAAGAAATTGCTATGACATATGATGATTTGTGCAGGTGTTGTAGTGGTTTCCCATTTCTTAAGGGTAAATTTTAAAGCTCTTTACCTTCATGGCCCGTTTCCACTGAGTGGTACGGTATGCTTTTATGGCCGTTTCCACTGTCAAAAGGAGTACCGAATCGTTACCATACCACTTTTTGGTCACCCTATGCAAAGGGTACCAAAAGGCAGAGCTAGAGGCACAGCTGAACGGTATTGTTTTACAGAGATACGTCATTCGCTCGCACAACAAGCCCCAAGCTCAACCAAACCTTGTCATTGTCGTGATAAACAGCCACAAAGCCAAGAAAAACAAAATCTGCTGTGCCCTGTTGTTGTTTTATGAACCCGTCTAAAAGTGCTAGCGGTTTCACTTTGTACAGAGAGCTTGCGATCACTTCTATATTTAAAATAACAAATTTTTTGAGCTCATATTAATAGCGTGTTCGTGATCATTGAAGTGCTTTGATATCCAATCCTGTCAGAAGGAGACAATTGTGAGAGTGAAGCATGAAAAAACGAAGGAGAAGCTGGAAAAAACAGCAGCAAATGATGCGTCTGCAACCTAAAACATGGACAAACTGCCATGTTTAACTATTATCATCACCTTTTGGACTATTATGAACTCAGAAAGATGGAATTACTTTCTAATAAGAGGCTACATGTGCAGCTGTAGATTACAGACACGTATGAGTGGTTTGCATTGACTGTGGGCTATATTTCATGTTGTTTTTGAACCTAAATAAGGACTAAATGTATGCTGTGTGTAGTTTTTCTGTAAGTGGTAACATATCGGAGACTGTAAGGGTCTGTATTTGTTCATATATGCTGCATTTACTTATTTATTTTATATAACTGCAGACGTTACAGTAGGCTATTTTGTCATTGATCTGCAGTTTTAATCAAATCATGTTCATAGAAAAGTTACTAATGGACATTTATACAGAAGTATTTATGTGTATAAAGCATCTGTTTTATGAGAAGTGCTTCTCATATGTGAACGTACAGCATTTTCTCGAGCGAAAACGATGTTGACTGAAACTGTCTGTCCTGTACACCATGCCCACCAAAAGAGTACCATTGGTACCCTTTTAGCAGTGGAAACGCAAGCCTGATAAAGGTGACCCATACCGACCCGTACCGTACTGTACCACTCAGTGGAAACGGGCCATCACACTCTGTTTCAAGGGGGAAGGCATATGGGTACAAAATAAAATTCTTGTTTTTAAAAGTAGGAAAGAGAACTTGTGCTGTTCTGTGAATGCACTCAGCTTCATAGATGGAACAGAACACAGTAATACAAAGTAATCTCAAGTTGTATGCGTACATGCAAAAATATGTAAAAAAAAAAAAATAAAAAAAAAAAATATATATATATATATATATATATATATATATATATATATATATATATATATATATATATATATGTGTGTGTGTGTGTGTGAGCAATATCACACGAGTAGTAGTTTGGTATGGCTGTATATTGGCACTGGTGGGAGGCCGAGTGCCTTAGTGCCCCCACCAGTGCCGATATACAGCCATAGCGCACTGCTACGAGTGTAATATTGCGTTTATACAACAGTTTGACTGCATAATTGTGTATAAAAAAACAAAATCAAACATGGAGAGTCTCAAAAACCCTTTTGTATGAGGAACTACTTTATTCCGGATTCAAATCATAAGCTGACAGTTAAACAGTTGAGTATGCATCTTTTAAACTTTAGATCTGTAGTGTCTGCTTTTTGCTGAATGTATGTGGGCGGAGTAATACACAAAGGGTAAAGAGGCTGTAGGAGTTCTGATATTGCAGAATATCGCACGGCTATCAGCCAATCAGATTTGAGAACCAGACAGAACTGTTCTATAAATATATATATACATATATATATACGTCACTTACAATTATTCAAATAAACTCTGGATTATGTAATAAATGAACATACAGAGTAACAGTAAATGGGAGCTGTGCGGCTTTGTGACAGTAGTCTATATTCCTTCTGCTGACTGTGCTTATCATTATTAATCACAACAAAAAACAAGGACAAAGTCAATCACTGCTCTTGGCTGAACAACTATTGATAAGACTAGCTTTAATGAGATGCAAATCAAGTTTATTTCTTACAGTGAAGTATTCTTAAAGCACAGTTGGTTTGATTTGTATGTTTTTAGTTTATTGTGTATAGACTGAGTTGAATAAACTAAAGCATCCGCTGTATAAAACATATGCTGGCTAAATTGGCGGTTCATTCCACTGTGGCGACCCCAGTTAAATTAAAGCGACTAGGCTTAAGGAAAATTAATTAATGAATGAATGCGTATAGACTTTTTTTGTTGTTGTTTTTTAACTTTTTTTATCTATTAACTAAAAAACTTAACTTAAAACTTAATTAACTTAAACAAATCTGTTATTATTTTAAATAACTTTACCTACAATATGGACCAAAATTATTGTAATTATCCTATTATTATCATATAATTTTTCCGTAACTGCAGCCCTGAAATGGTCTATTTTTACTTTATTTGGAAGGGTCATGAATATTAATTTCACTAATAATCATACATCAGTTGTTAAATTTAATTCATTGAAACGTTTAATTTCTACTTTATTAATAATCTTTGGTTTCACTTTTGACTTTGATGATAATAAGAAAGGCATAGAAAGCAAGAAATCAGACACTGGAAGGATTTCTGAGGGGTAATTTTATAGTGGACACTTTAAAATGTGTTTAAAATGGGATAGTTCCTCCAAAAATGAAAATTCTGTCATCATTTACTCACCCTTTGCTAGTTCAAAACCTGTTTGAGTTTCTTTCCTCTCCCAAACACAAAAGAAGATAATTTGAAGAACTCTTTAAACCTGTAACCATTGACTTTTATAGTCATTGTTTTTCCTACTGTGGAAGTTGATGGTTACAGGTTTTCAGCTTTCTTCACAACTTCTTCTTTTGTTTTCAACAGAATAAAGAAGCTCAGTTTGAAACCACACCAAAGTGAGTAAATGGTGGGTTAATTTTCATTTTTGGACAATGTATCCCTTTAAAATCAAAAAAAGTAATTTAATATTGGCATAATTATGTTGTCATTATATCATAATACTATTTTAATCATAGTACTATTTAATTATGTTGTAATTATATCATAAAACTTTTTTTAATTAAAAGTAAATGTTGCTTTTGGTGAGCATTTTCTTTTAGGGCAGTTCATAATTTTACTTCTCCAAAAAAAGTAGTACTGAATGTTATGGTGCGTATGTTTACTGTTTATTTTCGTCATTGTCCAAGTAGTTTTGAGAACTGAAACTCCCCCTAATAATGCTGAAATCATGTAGAGCTTACACATGCGCTGTGAATACTGCTATTTGGTGATGTGTTAAATTAGTTTAGAACATGAGGAAACTATTTTTTTTATAATTTGCAGAACTGAAGCTATTATTATCGACAGAATCATGCGATGTTAGGACTGAGCTCATACACATCATAACTGTACATGTAGCAACCACGACGGAAGACGTGTAAATAACCAGAGCCACTGTGATGTTTGATCAATTACAGGGCATAACAGAGGACTACAGAAACCCTACATCTAAACTACTGAAGGAAATCCAGGACATTCCACAGAACCAGAACCAAGAGCAGCTCAGCAAACCCACTGGACAGGTACATACATCGCTGTGTTCAGACATTTCGTCACTTTAGAATTATAAGGTTCTTTCTGACATTTTTGTCAAAATTTAATTATTGACATATTTTTTAAATGACATCTTATTTAAATCATGCGGTGTTTTTTATAAGTTGTTTACATTTTAAGACTTTTTATTAAAAAAAACAAATGTCACACATAATATTTGCTATATGTAATGCAAAAACTCTGAAGCTCATTATCTCAAAATCATTCAGAATGCAAATAGAACCTTATAATTCCAAGGTGATGATTTACTGAAAAAGTTTTTTGCATTACGCTAATGGTTCAGGGTTAAATGTGTTTTTTATACATTTTATAAAAATCTTTCATCTATAAATGTCAGTTCATCAAACTAGAAGCAAAGTAGAGTTCAGTACGGGTCACCTTTATCAGTCTTGTGTCTCCACTGCCAGAGGGTACCAAAATCTCACACAGCATACATTTAGGCCTAATTTGGGTTCAGAAACAGCCTGCAACATATAGCCTACAGTTAGTGCAAACCTTTCATCTGTGTCTTTAATCTTCGCCAGCACATGTAACCTCTGTTAGAGAGTAATTACGTCATTTCGAGTTCATAAAAGTCCAAAAGGCGATAATAGTTAAACATGGCATTTTGTTAATGTTTTAGGTTGCTGAAAGAATCATTTGCTCCTTTATTTTTTTCGGCTTCTCTTTTGTTTTTTGCGATTCACTCTCCCGTTTGTCCGTTTCTAAAAGGATTGGATGTCAGAAGCACTTCAATAATCACGCATTATTATCATCAGCTCAAGAAGTTTGTTATTTCAAATATAGACGCGTGGCAAGTGCTCACTAGAGAAAGTGAAACCACTCATGCTTTTAGACGCCTCATAAACAACAGGACACGCAGATTCTACTCTTCTTCTTGACTTTGTGGCTGTTCTTCAAGATGATGACAAGCTAGGGTTGACCATGGCTCATTATTATATGTGTATATTGTACCGGTGTAATGTCTCGGCTATGTATTTAAAAATGGCACTTTATTTGTTTTTATTTTTCCGGCTTGTGTACACGCTAGTGGCACATCTCTGTAAACCAATAGCGTTCAGCTTTTCCTTTTGGTACCATTTTGTTGTGCTAGGTATCCTTTGGAAAGGGTACCTAATAAGTGGTACGGTACGATTTGCTTTTAGGTACCTTTTGACAATGGAAAAGGCCATAAAAGCGTACCGAACCGTACCGCACCACTCAGTGGAAATGGGCCTTTAGATTATTTTTTTTCAGCAAAGCACTGTTATCAAGATTGTGTTATCTTTAGTTTGTGACATAATTGCTAATATCTACAATCAGTAATGCTTATAATGTAAAATGTTATTTGTATTATTAAAATATGTGGAATTTTAGACATACTGTGAAAATGTCCTTGCTCTGTTAAACATCATTTGGGAAATATTTAAAAAGAAAAAAATAAATAAATGGGGCTAATAATTCTGACTTCAGCTGTATGTCTTTAAAGCCATAGTTCATTCGAAAATGAACATTTAAATACATTAGCACATACAAAAACAGTCTCAGCTACCTGTATGCAGTAGAAAACAAATAGAACATTTACAAACCAGTAAACAGGATAATACGGTCAGGCTGGGAGTTAAAATATACACCATAGAATAGTAATCAGGTTGAATTATTAATGTTAGGCCAAAAAGGTGTCCTTAGCTGCTAAAGGTTATCTGAATTTTTATGTATGTCATAGCTGAGTTTGTCCTCAAGTGGTTTTAAATCTTTATGAGTTTCTTTCTTTTGTTGAACACATGAAGTAAGATATTTTGAAGAATGCTGAAAACCTGTAACCATTGACTTCCATAGTAGGAAACACAATTATTGTGGAAGTCAGTGGTAACAGATTTTTAGTTTTCTTAATATATATATATATAAATTTTTTATAATATTTTTAATTAACAGAAATAAGAAAATAAGGCAGGTTTGAAACAAGCGAAGGTTTACTCTCAAACAATGACAGAATTTTGGGTAGCACATATTAAACAGGAACTAGTGAAACTGTAAATAAACTATAAATAGGATTTATAATATGAAGTAAATATTAAGTATGAACTTAAATAAGCAACAAATCTGGTTTTAACCAAATAACTTAGACTTAATAAAACCTATATTTAAAAACTAATACAAATGACAAAGAAATTGTTTATAATGATCCAATTTTTAAATTAGATCGGAATGAAATAAATATAAAAGCCTAACCAAACATGATGGGATGCGAGTCCAGTCGTGACAAATTTGACACCATTAAATCAACTGCAAACGAGATCGTGGGTGAGTTATTTCTCTACAGGCACACTGCTGTCTTGATATAAATTGGATAAGTAGATAATTAAATTACTGCAAATTATACAATTTTAAAATTATACACAGACAGTTGCTGAGCTGTCAGACATGAAACCATTTCAAAAACAAAATCCATTGTTGCTAGTCGGGTCTAATCTGGTAAATATAAAAGCATAAAATGAAAGAGACACCTTTTACACCACGTCGCAGTATTGCATCATGTTTAATCTAGGACACTGTTTGTTTTGGTTTTCTCAGTCAGTTTTTCTATTTGACTTGTTTTACTTTCAATCCAGTTTTCTTGTAATCGTACGTTACAAAAGAATTTAAAGTAAATGTTGCATAAGATGAATTTTTATTATTTTTGTTTTTTACATTCAGTTGCATCAACAAATGAAGGCAGAAAATAGATAAAACCTGGCCTCTCTGGGCTTCAGTTATTATTTTTTACACTTCTGTTCATTAACCACTAGTGGTGCCGACTTTTCACTTCACTTTCTGGAAATATGTCATGATGCAACAGTCAAAACAAATGTTTGTTTATGTTGTAGGATGAATCCATATCTCCGAGACCAGGTGAAGGAGAGCTGGAGGATTTTAGTGGAGATGTGGATCGACCCCCTTCCTGGCAGGGTGATGCTGGGACGGAGCCATTATGGACCAACAATAACATGACTCCAGTCAGTACACCTCCTAAATATTTGATCTTACCACTAAGAGTTCTCCTAAAAAGCAGTAAAAGTTTTTGGATAAGAGGTTTCTCTTAAAACCTATTCACAGACAAACTTTTACCAAGGGAGAAATCAGAGAGAAGTCTTGGGTTACCGAACGCATTTCCTAAACTGCTTTTCGATTGGTCAGAATTAACGTGTGGGAAAATGCCAATGGAACTCCCACAAGTAAACAAGCCTGCAGACACAAAATGTCTGTTTTTACTATGGAGGGACGACTGCGCTGGACGATTGTATCCCTGGTCATAGTATACTATATAGTTTGTATACATCACTTTAGACAAACTATACATTTCGAGAATGAAGCGCTGCTGCAGCTGGAAAACAATGTTCTAATGCATTGCAAACGGCGAAGGTGCATTGCAAGTCACTTCAGGAGGCGTGAGTTAATTTTGCGAAACTGAGACATGGTCATCCTGCGAAAATATTGGTCTAAAGATATGTGGTATACAGGTAAATAGGGTAAGCTAAAATTGTCCTTAGTGTATGTGTGTGATTGAGAGTGTATATGTGTTCCCCAGAGATGGGTTGCAGCTGGAAGGGCATTCGCTGCGAAAAACATATGCTGGATAAGTTGGTGGTTCATTCCGCTGTGGTGACTGAGGATTAATAAAGGGACTAAGACGAAAAGAAAATGAATGAATGAACTATAATATGCAGACCCTTCAGGATTTTACGATTATCCAAAATATTTTTTTAATTTGCTGCAAATTTTCCACATATTTTAGACAGTCTGGACACTTCAAACTTCTGCTGTGCCACAGAGCAACATCTATGTAGTGTTACTTTAAAAAACATAGTTTTCACAAATAAAATAGTCTTGCCAAGTGTGCAAAGCATGGAGTTGTTAATACACGTTCATCATCTATTGTGTGATTCGCGTCATGTCGCAAAACGCATTTAAAGCCTGATTGAACTAGGGCATGTGAGTTGTATCACCTGCTAAACTTCTACATATTTTATATATGCATCCTGTTGTCATATGTGTTGTGTTGTCCCTCTCACACACACACACACACACACATTGTAAGCTTGCATGCTCTACATCATGTCCCGCAACATATTCAAATAGCCGTCAAACCACACTGAAGCATTATTTTTAAACAGTTGGTTTCATTTTCAAATGATGAAAAAGTCAAGGTTTTAAAAATGTCAAGGTTTTAAAACCGCCAAAATTTTCTGCTATACCGCTCAATGTTTCCTTTAGGATTATTTTTCAGCTGTGTCGGTAGACTCTGTTGGGCCTTTTACACAGATCTACCAACTAACTGGCGTAATTTTAATGTCAAATGTCCTGAGCGCAGTCGAGATCGCATTTATGTAATACAAGCTTGCGAATCTCTTTGCTTGCGCCCCGATTTCCTCTCTTCAAGCTCAAAACGTCTTGCATACCCTCAAATAGGCTATACACTGCTCAAGTGCAGATTTTCTTGTGCGCTCTCAAATAAACATTCATCTAAAGGGTTAAACAAATAACGCACAGCACATCTACGATTGCAGAAAAGTTTAAACTTATAATTCACTTACCTTTCTAAATGTTTTGGTGTGATTATAACCGGCCAATAAACAAAAAAATGACTGAATGTTTTAAATTTAAAGTTTAAAATTTCTCATTTAATTTCTCATTAAATTTCTCTGTAATGTAGCTGTGGCGGGATGAATTTTGGTGTGGCGCCCTGCCATAGAGTATTCAATGTAGCGGAAGCCATGCTGTTCCTACGGTACAGCAGGATATGTATGATTTTGTTTTGTTTTATTTTTTAGGACAACAGTATCTCCAGCAGAAGAATGTAAATGCTGTTTAAAATGATAAATAAATCAGTGTTTTTGAAGCTAAAAAAGACAGCAGAAGTCAATGATTAATTTGAATTATTTAGCCTGACATATTTACTGTTCCAAAATGTTTTAAATGTTTCTCAAAATAAAATATTTTGTTTTTAAAAATGGAAAAACGATTTTTTGTTTTTTACCCAGACAATTAAAAAGGCTATATTTTAGAGCAGGAATCATGATAACGTTATGTTTTTATCCAACGTTATTATATTGTCCGAATCTTATACCAGCCCATTCCTAATATAAATTACAGAAATCAATGATTGTTAAGGTTACAATATTAAACAAGTTTTAACGTGCACATTTGTGTATATTTTACAGCAAAACAATAAAATAAATTCCACAAATTTAGCAAAAGCTTTCCACATCAGGCACTAACTAACACATACTAATGAGAATTTAAGGTTACCTATTGTATTGTATCATCCTTTTTATTTTAATATTTTAATTTATATATTTTAAGTATTTACAGCCTTTGCCGTGAAGCTGTAAGTTGAGCTAAGGTACATTCTGTTTCCACTGATCATTCTTGAATGTTTCAGCAGCTTATTTGGAGTTCACCTGTGGTAAATTCAGTTGATTGGACATGATTTGAAAAGGGATACACCTGTCTATATAAGGTCCCAGGTCCCAACTGGAAGGCTAGTGAGGATAGAAGGAAAGATGAATACAGCAATGTACAGAGACATCCTAAATGAAAACCTGCTTCAAAGTGCTCTTGACCTTAAAATGGGGCGACAGTTAATCTTCCAGCAGGACCCAAGCAATGACCCAAAGCACACTGCCAAAATATCAATGAAGTAGCTTCACAACAACTCAGTGAATGTCCTTGAGTGGCCCAGCCAGAGCATATGCCTAAATCCTATTGAACATATCGAGAGAGATCTGAAAATCTCTCACCGTCACACACCGTCACTTCCCATCAAACCTGAGAGAGCTTGAGAGGTACTGTTATGGGCAAAAATTTCCAAAGCCAGATGTGCCAGGCTTGTGGCATCATATTCAAAAAGACTTGAGGCTGTAATTGCTGCCAAAGGTACATCAACAAAGTATTAAGCAAAGGCGGTGAATACTTATGTAATTGCTATTTTTTCAGGCTTTTTTTATTATTAATTCGCATTAATTTCAAAAAATCTTTTTTTCACATTGTCATTATTGGGTATTGTGTGTAGAATTTAGAGGAAATTAATGGATTCAATCCATTTTGGAATAAGGCTGTAACAAAAAATGTGGGAAAAGTGAAGCTCTATGAATACTTGCTGGATGCACTGTATATTTTGAAGTAAACCATCGAGGACAAAAACACAATAAAGCCATTGGTTTGATTCCTTTGTGGTCCTCGCGGTTAATAACAAAGTGTTGCTGCAAAGTACAGTTAATGCATAAACAGTACCTCCACATTTTAAAACTGGAACAAAAATTATTCATAATTCATGCTATAAATAAAAAAAGTAATAATTAATTAAAATGCAGATGTCTGCTGCTTTTGTTGAGTTGACATTTGCTGCCCTTTGCTCCCTGCAGGTTACTCCTTGTCTTTTCCCAGAGAGCCCATGCCAAAGAGAGACCCCCTGCCACAGCCCAAAGACCACACCTCGAGACAGCCTCAACTCCTGTCCCTCGCCGGATGCAGAAGACACACCTGACCTAGTGAGACATCTTTAAACTTCTTGACTTAATGGGTCGTTTCTCTGCACTCTGCTTAAATTGTGTATTTCTCATGTAGGATTCTCAGTCAAGTGTAGGGAGCCCTTGCTCTCGTCCTGTAGCACATATCATCGGTGCTGAGGATGAAGACTTTGGCAAAGAGCAGGAACAGGTTAGTGTGACACTGGCTTGGTTGTAGTGTGTGCTTTTTGTCCCCGCAGGATCTACTCTTAAGAACTGTATCATACACCCGGCGTAATGCGGCACAAGGCGCGATGCAATTGTTGTTTGCTAGTTTCAGCTTGGCGCAAGAGTAGTTTTGATGCTTTGCACCACACTGTTTAAATAGCAAATGCATTTGCGCTCATATGTGCGCCCATAGCTGTTGTGGTCTAAAAGAGGAGGCGTGTTATGGCGCGTTGCTATTTTGAGGATCTAAAATAAACTGTTCAATAGATCAGATCAAAGCTGGTCTAAAGTCCAGCGCAGAGCGTGTTATTTGTGTGCCTCGCTTGCACACTGCTTAATACACAGGGTGTACAGCAATACACAAAAATCTTTACAAATGCAAAATAATTAATAAAATAATAAAAGATAAATATAATGTATAAAACTATACTTTTTTTGTATTACTTTATAATACCCAAACGTCTGATTAGCTTTTCATATAAAAGGACATTGCACAGATATTGATATATCTTGATGTTTTTACACTACACATTATTTGATTCTAACAGGCTTAGTTTACAGTATTTGCTATGTTTACATTGTTCTACTTGCATTAAATCTAAATCCCAAATTTCAGAAATGACAACAGATTATTAAGATTAAGATAATGTAAATTTTATTTTATTGATTAAAGCACTTACATCCATTCATTTTCCTTCTGCTTTTTCCCTGGTTTATCACAGTGGAATGAACCACCACTTACATGAAAGATTTATGTATTTTTAATTTTAGGTGGTGTGTGTATTGTGTTTGCATCTTTAGTGATTTTCAACTAATTACAATGTCTTGTCCCGATAGGTAGATTTAGAGGTTTTTGCAAAAACAGCACAAGTGGATTTAGCTGGTTTTGACGCAAAAGAAAATCTAACTTGTTAAAAACCAAAAAATTGTCTAAAGTGACATTTCAAAAAAAAAAATTTATTTTATTTACTAGCTAAGAACCTTATCATTACATAAAAAATGAAACTTCTGAACCTAATTATAGGAGCCTGATAGAAAATGCTAATTTACAAGAAAAGAGGTCTAATATATTTAGAGGGTTTTGCATCTAAACTCTTCAAATATTAGATCACAACATTCCCACATCTTATCTGGAACACACAATGGCTCTAATAAAGCACCGACGATCATTCTGGCAGCCAGGAACAGTGAATAAAAATGTTCTGGAAAGCAATTTTTATTTTTGAAAGTGATTTTGTGTATATCCATT